GTGGTGCAGGTGCTGCTGCTGGTGGTGGTGGCTCCTCCTCCTCACCGTGGGCACCCACTGCTGAACTTAGCCCTGGTCTGTCCTCAGGGATGGAGGCAATGAGGACAGGGGGGTTGATGGAATAGCTCTGTCCCAGCACCTCATCCATTAGGACAAACCATGGCCAAGTCTCAGCAGTGGGTTTCCCACTCACTCCCTCTCCTGTCCCTGGATACTTGCAGTCCTAAAGCAGAGCAAATAAAGCATGCCTGTTAACAACAATGAAGGCATAATAAATTTAAGCAAAATGTCCTAATAACTTTCTTACTTTGTATTTTTTTTTAGGTTGTCCCATTTTTTTTTGGCCTGCATGGGAGTTGCCTTCCCCAGCAGTCCCATTTCTTCCAGAATTCCCCTAAAAACAAACAAAAAAAACAAAAAAACAGAAGGGTGCTTTTACATGTGGTGCAATGACTGTAATCGTAATTGCATTAGTGCATTTTTAACACTGCAAGCTATGACACATAAAGACAAATCTTTAGAAACATATTTCGGGATACTCAAATGCAGTTAAAATTGAACATAAGGTTCAATCACATAAGTTTTTTTTTTTTTTTTTTTGGTCGGCTTCATAGGGCGAGTGAAATTTCTTATAATACACAAGTGAGACAGACAGACTACAGCAAATATTATAAAAAGGTTGTTGTCTTACCTCCAAGCCACGCTGGCAAAGTTTTTGGCCCCAGTAAACAGGTGGTCGTTCTCAGACCGCAGATTAATAAATTGCGCGGTCTGCTCCTTACTCCCTGAAACAATTATTGTAATATTAGCAGATTTGCCTCAAACCTCCTGACAAATGAAGGCATGGTGATGAACAAGTTGAAATTAAGTTTAAAAGAAAGAAAAACTCTTGACTTTTAATTCTGGTTTCGCTAGCTAGCTATTTAAATGAATGAAAGCAAAAAACTTACATTTAAATGTGAATTTGACCACTGGATTGTCGCCTGCCATGGTTTCAGAACTCCTGTCGTCACCGGTATGGCCGCGGACTGCGAAGGATGCAGCCTATTAGTCCTTCGAAGGACGCACCATGTAGCCTTTGTGGGATTTCCCAATTGCGCAACCAGGTGTTCCCTATTACCGCTCCTGACGTGAAGCAACAGTGCGAGAGTAGCCTACAGCTGCCACCCTGATCATTCATTTAATAAAATTGAGTAAACAGCAATGGAGACAGAATTGGCTATATTGTCTTTTTTTTGTTTTGTTATATTTTACTGGAGGCCATAGGAGCAGACATGTGAGGTGAGTAGCCTACCTTATATGCTGAGTTTCGTTAATTTATATAGGTAGCCTATTTACCTCTTATTTATTAAAAACTTTCCGTTTGATGTCTGTGTGAAAGGTCATAGGCTAGTGCTTTTTACTGTGTACAGAAATGGACCATTGTGAATATATCAGCTTGTCAACCCTATTTGAATATTTGAAACCAATTGAATATAAAAAGTACAGTGCAAGGTAACGTTACTCCGCTCGTCATCGACAAGAACAATTTCCCATGGACCGGTTCAAGCGCTTCATGTGCGCACTTTGATATGTGGACGCAGCTGTAGTTAACAACAATTTGTTAATATTGTGACAATAGACCAACATTTTGTTACTTTAATTTTCAAAATAACCAGTGGGGGAATGAACTTCACAGCCTAGCCTACTTCATAGACTATTCACGTAAATGTGAAAACTACACTAAAGTAGGCAATCCTATAGTTTAAATGCATCAACCTTGCAAACACTCAGATGCCATTACAAAAATAAACAACGTCCAGAGCCATGAATTTTATTTTAAAATTATTAACACATTTAAAGTTGCATAAAATAATAAATTATGAATAATAATGTACAGAAATGTATTTTTTCGTTTTCGCGTTTCCACAAGACAAATAAAGCCACACAATGGTGACGAATGAGTTGATGAAAAAGAAGAAGAAAAAACTTTTGGCTGTTAACACTGGCTTGTCTGGCTATTTGATTAATGAAAACAATACTTCTACGTTTAAATGTGAATTTGCCGTCCACCACCGATTCTGCCGCCCTTTAAAAAAAATGCTCTCGTCACCAATGACTTATGACTTATGGGTTAGGATAGGCCGCGTAGGATTTTTCATTTATGTATCCTCTCTTTCTCGGCGAAACGAAGGGTGAATTTGGCGTCGCTTTTGAATCAGTGTAGCCTTCGTCGCGCTGAGATGACGCAACCAGCCTTTGAGTACGGCCTTCGGAGGATGCATAACTGAATTGGGACAGCCTACATCGCACTGCGGTGACGCAATCGGCCTTCAAATGCGCCCTTCGGAGGGTGCAGCCTTAGAATTAGGGCAGCCTTCGTCGCGCGGCTGTGGCGCAATCGGAACATTGGGACACAGCTAAAATGTGCACTGTTGGTGTTGCTGCCTCAAGGAGCAGGGTTGGGAAACACTGATCTAAGGTATAAAAATACACCAAATCTACATTTAAAGACTACATCCAGAGTTTCCCTGCATCTCACCTGGAGTTTGAAGTGTAACTGAAAAAGTTTGCTTTGCCTCCTCTTGTTCTTTAAACTGGGGGGATGCCTTTCCTTTCCCAGGAGATGTCAAAGACTTCTTACCTGGAATAAAGTAAAAGTCTTTCACACAAAATCCAGCAACATTTAATCATTTAACGCTTTTGATTTGCATTTAGCAGAAAACTTCTATACAAGTAATAATAATATGACAGTTTTTTTATGGTTACTCTGTGAAATAACTTGAACATTCTGCTCTAATTACACTTGGCTATAATAAAACATACTTTTTTATATAGTTTAGCATTTGACAGTATAGTGCGTCTACCTGGGGTTTGAGTTACTAAGGACAATGCTTTCTTTGTCACTTCTTTCTCTTTAACCAGGGGGGATGTCTTTCGCTTTCGAGAAGATGTCAAAGACGGCAAAGTCTTCTGATCTGAAACAAAGCAGTAATCTTTAACATAAATCATAGCAAGTCTACAAAGCCCTTGTCTCTTCTACAGAAACACTCAGACACACCTACACAGTCCACGGCTGTGCTACTCAAGGTCTTTCGCCGTGTCGAACGCAAAGGCGGGCGAATCAGTGCAGATTGTGATGAGTCTCCAGCAGAATCTACTACTACAAAAAAGTGAATTACTCAGTTAGTCAAAAAAGGAGGCTCAGTCAGATGACATATACATAAATGTATGTGTATTATGCATAAACTACCATTCAAAAGTTTGGGGTCAGAAGATTTTTTTTAATGTTGTTGAAACTAAGTCTATTATGCTCAACAAACACCCACATTTATTTGATGAAAAATGCAATAAAAAAAACATTGTGAAATATTACAACAATTAAAAAAACATTTCTATTTTACCATATTATATTTTAAAAGTATTTTAGAAAGAGCCTAACTTTTAGCGGTCTTCAATGTCATAGGATTCTTCAGAAATAACTATAATGCTTATTTGAAGCTCGAGAAACTTTTCTGATTATCAAATCAGTTGAGCAGCTTAATATTTTAGTGGAAATTGACATGTTTTTCAGGTTACTTTAAAGAAAATAAGGTGTTCTGTTGAATTTATTTGAACGATGCATATTTTGTCATATTATACATTTCTTTAATCCCAGTTTTGATCAATTTAATGCATCCTTGCTGAATAACTCGTGGTTATTTATTACTTTGAGAGAGACAGTTTATCTCTGGTTAACAGATAAAAAGTTCATTCAGTTACATGCTGATATTAACGTAACATCAAACTCACTTTGAAACCATTGCTACCAAACAACTCTAATAAGTTAAGATTAACATTGCTCAACTCAAATGCAAATTGGTTCATCATAAGGAAATCTGGACTATGACGTCACCTGAATTCAAATGAATATTTTTTTATTGTAGATTATGTTATGCACTTATTTAAGTATCGACGATGACATGAATCTACTTAAGACGTCGTCACTGCATTTGGTTTTCTTAGCCTGTCAGCTTTACTATATTTAACCAGCCTCTTCGATCGGCGAGTCGTAGTCCTTTCAGAAACCTATCGAATATATTTAAATAAAATAAGGTTGAACTAAACCCATATTTACCTTCCATGGCGCTCAAAGACGAAAGCACAGAGTCAGGATATGGTTCGGGTGGCTGTGAAGTTACAGCTTCTGTTGTGTCTTCTGGGAGTCTCTCGCCACATGAAGGACAGAATTTGAACGCAGGCTGTAACTTTGACCCACATTGAGGGCAGAAATTCAGCATTTCGACGGCAAATTAGTTGCGGTGTGTGGAAATGCTCCCCGGGGAAATATTGTGACTGTCGAATTTCTGCAGTTCGCACTGTGCGTTGTCTCTGTTGTAACTGACACAAATCACGTGATCATTACCAGTTGAGGTTTTACGGCAAGTGGTGAGGGCCATAATTCACGATTTTCACGTTTTCTTTTTAATATGAACGAGGAGCAATATATTAAAATTCTAATTTTATTGCTGCTGAAAATGAGCCTAATGAATTTCTAATTTTATTGCTGCTGAAAATTAGCCATTCTAAAGCAAAGACTAAATTACAAAACAGTTATATTTTTGACTACAATTAAAATGGTCGTTTACTCACGTTCATATTGCTCATATAAACCAGTATGACTTTCTCCTGCTGAAAACAAAAATATATTTTAAATCAATTTTGGTGAGCACTAACTTCCACTGTATGGACAAAAAAGCTGTATGCTTCACAATGAGAAAAAGTCACGAGGGTGAGTAATTTTTGGGTGAACTATCCCTTAACACTCAAAATTATGTAAAATGTCCAAAACAGGGTTAGAGTGAAAACAGTATGCAAAGGTGTCAAAACAAATTATTTTGGACTTCTCTTTACAATAAATATTAATGCTGCACCACCTTGTCAACATTCACATTAAACCTAACTGAAACTCTGCTCTAAAAGTATAAAATATAAGTTGTCAACTCCAGGGTAGTGAAAAAAACAGAACAGAAAAAAATTACTGAAGAAGAAAATTTGCCAATAGCTTTTTTTATTCCCAGTGCATAAATGTACAAAAACACATTTGAATACATTCACACACTGGTCGATTTGAGAGCGAACATGAACTTTTTTTGTGTTAACACTCATATATACATGAATATATACAGCATGGGAGTAGATCTAATGAAAACTGTTTTTCTAGTTTTCTGACATGAAAGGCCTTCTCATTATTAATCTCTATTTAATGGTAGGAAATCTATATTTTGCATGCATGTACGTACGTGTTTGAAATCCTGGAAGGTTAAGGTTAAACTTTCATTTAGCTAAAGAAAATACAACATCCCTGGCATTTCCCCCACTCCCCACAACCCCATTCCCCAAATCCAAAGCAATCTTGTAAAAAATAAAAAGGGTAACGAAATAACTATTTCCATAAAAAGGAAATCATGGTTTCCTTGTGAAACAGACATACTAAAGTATATCAACAATTGTAAAATCCAGAGGCTTGTCCCTGTGCATGAGCATTTTTCCAGGAGTCCAGTTCTTGTTTCTGTTTCTCTAGCTCCTCTTTCTCTTTCAGAAACTCCTCTCTCTCTTTCTGCATCTCCTCTTTTTCCCCCTGGAGTTCATCCTTCTCCTTCTGGAGGTCTTCTCTTTCCTTCCGCAACCTTGCATGTTCCTGCTCTTGTTCACATTTCTGATTTTGAAGCACTCGGCGCTCAGTATCCATTTCACGGAACTGCTGCAGTAACTCTTTCTGCAGCTGTATGCTCCGCCCCTCTTCCTGTTGGACACGCCTCAACGCCTCTGTCAGTTCCCGCTCTCTTTCCAATATCCGCACACCCTCAGACCACTTAGCTCCTAGGAGGGAAACATTTCAATTGTGATGTCAAAATTTTTAATTTATATATATTTGTGGGTGTGTGTGTGTTGTGTTTGTCTTTCTATTTTATAAGCTATATAATATTAAGATACCAAAAATGAAAAAGATTTTATTTGTACATCTTATTTCAGACAAAGGTGCAATGTGCAAAAACAGAAATGCAATACGACATCCATAACTATGTATTCAGTGGTGTATAAAGAACTTAATAAACCGTAATGTTTTTATTACCTTAGAATGAGACATTTATATCTACATAACTGCAGACACCCCCTTCTATGAAGGTCGCCCTTAGCGCAAACTCGCCACCGAACCTCTAGATGTCGGTAAAAATCACACACACACTACACCTTTAAAGGGTTAGTTCTGTATTTTACACTTAAAGCCCCGTTTTAAGATCGTTTCTGATGAAATAGAACAGTTAAGATTGAAATTTGGACAAATGCTGCTGTCCCGAGAATTTTAGGTTTCTCACAAAAATTGCTGCAATAGATGCTTTCCGACAGGTTTTATCGTGGAGGGGTGCTAGCTAACACAGAAACCTAAAATTCTCTGGACAGCAGCATTTGTCCAAATTTCAATCTTAACCGTTCTATTTCATCAGAAACGATCTTAAAACAGGGCTTTAAGTGTAAAACACCAAACTAACCCTTTAAATTATTGTTTTTTTAAGGTTTTACATCTAGTTAACTATAATAACCCTGACACAACATCCTTTTCACACAAAATGTAAATGTGTATATTGATGAGAAGAGTTAAATGCAAACTATACCTGAGTATCTGTCTAGGCTGGTACTGCAGGGTAAACGGACATCACGCTTAGGTGTCACAATGTGTGATCTGGTCGGAGTCCCGCCCGCTAATGTGGGAGAGGAAGCAAGTCGGCTCGGATCTTCTGATTTACGCTTGCTAGGCCGCTTTTGTGGGTGATCCTCAAGTTGTGCAAACTCATTGGGATGCTTATGCTGTAAATGTCTAATAAGGTTACTTGTGCTACTCCGGTGCTGGATCTTCTCCATGCAAAGCAAGCACAGGGCTCGTGGCTCCTGGCCAAGCTTTCGATAGTGCACCCACACGGAGCTCCACTTGCGAGTATTACCTGGGGCCTCGTCCTCTTGTATTTCTTTCCCCTCCCCTTCATCAACAGGCCCCTCGGCTTCCTCATCAGCCACCTCTGCTTCCGCTGCCCCCTCTCCTGCAGCAGCACGAAGGATCCCTTTGATGGCACCGTCCATTTCACCATCTTCTCCCACAGACTCCACCTCTACCTGCTGCTCGTCCATTAACACTGTAACTTGGCACAGAAAAAAAAGGAAGAAAAAAGAAGTTGTATTGGTTATTTAAAAAGCACAATGACGACATACAGAATGTTGTTGTGCAACAAAAGTAACAATTAACTAGAGAGCAAAAGTCGGGTTCCAAAATTAAAAATCCCATTCATTTTTTTCCATAAGAGAATGGATTTTTAATGATAATTTAAACAACTTCAAACAAAGACAGACCTACCCTGAGCTAAGAAGTGGTTAATCAATGGAATATACTTTTTTGTTGAAGCTATCAGTCCACATTACATCAACCTTTTAATTTTTCAAATAGTGTTCAACAGCAGAAATCCTGGTGAAAAAAGCTACATTATATTAGCCTGGGAAAACCCAGACAACTTTGGGCAAATTTAGATTTGCTCTGAAAGTTAGTCTGGCAAAGAGCTTATTCAAGCCCATTTTCAATCTGTCAGAATCGCGGCACCAATCAGAAACGTTGGAGCGGGCTTTACACGATGACGACATCGCTGGGATTTTGAAGCAGATTCTGTAGCCTACATTACAAAGATGGATGCCGCCGTCGAACATCACTCGTTCGAATCAGTTATCGCGTCTGTTTTAGGCAATTTGAACGTTTCCTTTTTGTTAAAAACCGAGCAAAGGACAACACTCTGAGATGTTTATCTGCCGGCCGCCGCTCTGCATACGTCATCTCCTTCATCGCTCTGATTGGTCTACCCGCGACATCCGTTGGTGACGCCCCACTGGATTTGTCTGTGATGCTTTGCCAGACCATAACTCAGTTACAAGTGAGAATGGTCTGGTTTTAACAAGGCTAACATCATACATGATTCTGCAGAGAAATCTCCCGTCCGGGAATCCAACAAGCAAATCACACCAAAAGCACACATGTTTATTATTTGACATGATTTAATAGTTTCAACCTGTTTGGTTAGAAACATTTCTGTCATCTGCTAATTTTCTTTTATTGGACATGCCTTATTTTCGATTCATTTTCCTGTTGTATTGTTCTCTTGACATCATAGTTTTTAGGAGATAAATTGTACTTATACACCTTGCTTATCATGACAATAGAATTTTCCATCATATTATTCTTTTGGCAGCGTATGATTTGGACGGGTCTTTCAGAGCTTTTGGGTTGGAAACAGTCACTCACATTCACACCGTGGACAATAGTGTCTTCAATTGACCTATGAGGTACTGTTGCAACTATTTGGCCTTATATAATTTCTAGCCTATATATTTCAAGTTTATTAAGGCGAGACACTACAAGCAAAAACATTGTTGTTTTTTCATCCACCTGTCAATTTTGAGATTGGGCTGTTTAGCTTTTAATATTGTTTTTCAGGCTAGTGGAGAGAAAACACCAAAAATACATTTATTTTATAGCACTGAATCTACTTGTGTCTTTACATTTCAATTACATATCTTTATAACTTTAAATGTACGTTAGTACTCTCAAAATAGTTTTTTCCCCCTAATTTGTTTTTTTTCCCTAATTTGAGTCAGAAATCTCCAATTCAGTAGCACTTACTTGCACCAAAATTTAAAGTTTTATGCCTATCTATATTCTCAATATTTTCAAGTGATAAACCTTTAATTAAAAATAAATACATTTTGAACCTGGTTTTACCCAATGTTCAGTTTTCTGTTCTAAAATGTATGCATAATATTTCAGATTTTTTTTTTTTTGAATTCTTAATGTAATCAGTCAACTGGGTATATCGATATCTAGTAGTTGATCACCTGGTCCTGGGGTGTCTGAACATAACGGAACATTATAATTGAACATAACGTTCACAGCTGACATGAACAGGTGTTGTACACAAAGCATTTCCTAACCATTACTACATTTGTGTAGTACATAATTTTATAGAAACAATCTTGGCTTTAGTCAATGACCAGTTTTTGAATAAAAAAGCGCGCCCATCCAGGGATGTGACAGCACATCACGTGACAATTTCGGATCAAATAATGCTCAATGCAAATTATATGTTAAAAAATGACATTATTTAAAATTTATCAATCACTAATAATTCGTGTATATAATACGAATTTATATTTCGCACAGAATGGTGTCGCTCGCGTAGAAAGAGTTCTGTCTCGTTTATAATAAACGGGAGGGGGCGGGGTGGCTTTTTCAGTCGAAGCACCGTATGTTGCCGATCCAAATCAGCGACACGATTCAAAAGATTCATTCGTTTGACTGAACGAGTCGAATCGAATCGATTCCGGTCGGGGAAATTCGTTTGACATCATATAAAATGTGCTAAATTAGCCTTCTATCATTGAGCGACATAATAGACAATTGTTTGAGAAAAAACCCAACATGGCGTCGTTGCGACATCCACCCAAAACCATGGCCTAAGCGAAACTCTCGTCACTTTGACAACCAGACTCTGTAAAACGAAGCCGTTCTTACTTAAGAGTCGATACTGAATCGCACAATCACAACGAGCACACTTTTGAGCGATAAAGCGCCTTTAAATTAGGTCCTAGACTCACATGTGGAAAGATATGAGCACGTGCAAAGGTAAGGCCAAAATGTAAACGTAACGTTAGGCCAAAATGGAAGGGAAACCATCACAAACCAAAGAAAATATATGAGGTGTCAATTCTAAGTTCCATAAACAAGCCGTTGTATCATAGACATATCACAGTAACGTTACACCAGGACATTGTACATAATAGTAAACACTAAAAGACAATAATTTAACCTTGCATACCTTCCACGCAACCAGTGTCGTTGCGTTTGGACACCGCATCTGTCGCGGGCTTCCTTTTGTCCAACGAGGAAAAATCTGACGGGTGTTTCGTTCGTAAATGGCGAAGCATGTTAGTTGTGTGACCAAAATACAAAACCGTCTTCATACAGAGAAGACACAACACTCTTCTTTCATCCTCCGCTTGGAAAAATGACCAGACTATACTTCGCTTTCGTGCCGCCATTTTCGAACGAGTCGACTTTGAATACTGATTGCCTTATTTTAGATGGTAACCTTCTCGCCGTGAAATTCTCGCGCATGCGCTCTGTTGCTGATGCTTTGGTCACTGAGCAAAATGATTCAAGAGTAAGACATAAAAACTATATGTAATGTATTTATAATACTTGATGTTATTTTTTTTATACATTATGTTTTATGATGCTATGCTAAGTTTAGTAAGACAAAATAATAGGCTAGTCATTGTGTCGAACTGTATGTCTGTTTTCACGTTTTAAAATGTCTTTAAAGTATGCTTCACATATCATCAGAATCCTCTGCTTTTACGATTATTTATATATATAAATAATAGTAAAAGCAGAGGATTCTTCATATATATATATATATGAAGAGTTCAGATGCAAAAGCCTCTAAATGCCATTTGAAATTTTCTTCTTTAATGATGATTTTTATCAAACTTGTATATTTAAGTTCAGTAATTTCACTTAAATTTAATTCATCATTAAAGAGGAAAATTTCAAATGGCATTTAGAGGCTTTTGCATCTGAACTCTTCATATATATATATAATTATTATTATTATTGGGGCAGGATTCACAAAGGATCAAACAAGTATGTAAATCTCGCGAGAAGTTCAGTTCAGACGAGGGTTACCCCAACCAGACACCGGGCCTTTAGCGCCCCCTCTAGAATGTCAATAGGTATTCGTGTTATATCCACATTTAAAAAAGAACAAAATAAGGTAAATATTCGTTGTTTTTCAACAGACTTTTGTGTAAAACCCAGAAAAATGTTTAATTAAATTAAGTAAATGTTTATTATTAAACTTATAACAATGAATAAAAACACAACCCATCACTCACTCTTATACAGTGCAGATACAAATTCAGCAATTTAACTCAAGAAATTATGTGCAGCTCAGTAAAACCATTAACATGTCCAATGCATTGGACATCAGGCTATAAGTCACAACAGGTTTATTACAGAAAATATCTAGTGTTCAGCATTGTAACTTGATCAGTGCCATAAAAGCTCTCTCTCATGCACACATATACAGAAAAAATCCTCAGCAGGGCACAAGCTTAAATACACTACTCATGATATAAAATATAAAAAACTTGAGGGGCTCACACTTATATCCCGTTGACTCAAATTTAAACTGATCACATAAAAATAAAGAAAGCACAGAAGTTTCACAGATAAGTTTTGCACATCTTTTTTTGTTACAAGAAATAGGCAACAAAACAACCCTGAAACCACAATTCCTATCCAGTGACCCATCTCCAGTGTTTTGCGACCCAATCCCCCTGATAACTTAAAACTTGCAGTAAGAATGCATAAACTCAGATAAATTATGTATTCAGTCTCAGGTACTTTATGTTTAAAATGAAAGCATGGTTATTTGATTTTAAAAAAAGGGTGAATGATATTAATATGGTTGGTCTTGAGATATAGAATGTAACAGTTTGTGTAGTGTTAGTTCAGCAGGGTCCTGTGGTTGTGGTTTGGGTCAACATCCTGAATCTTGACCTCCACTGACTCCCACTCTCCAGTGCGATTTGATCGTTTGATGGCATCCACAACTGTCTGAACATACAGCCCATCCTCGAAGGTGGCTGCCATGGAAACAGGATGCCGCACCCAAGAGCGCCTGTCCTCTTGTGCCTGAAAAGAGAGTCTGAGCTGAGTCACCATGCCATTTAGTCCCCTGACAGATGGCCCTACAGCTTCACCAGCATCCGTCATAAGAAGCTCCTCTACTTGCATGCTGGTCCGTTGGCCATACAGCTCTGTTCCTCGAGCAATGAGTCGCCCTGATGACCCCACAAGCATGATCTCATGCACATCTGTGCCAGGTAGATTGAAGTTTAACGTAACGCTGCAGACCACACCTCCGCTCATCAGCAGCTGAAAGCAAGCATAGTCATCTGCGGTAACTGAACGAATCCCTCCCGCTGGACCACCTTGACGTACAAAAGTCCGGAGCATTCCATGCACTCGCATAGCCCGACGTCCCGTGAGGTGGCTCAGGAGGTCAATGATGCAGGAGCCCACTGTATGCAGGCCACCTCCCCCCATAAGCTCCTCCCATGCCCAGCCATATGATTGGCTGAGCAGTGAGCCTCCATATACTCGGGCTTCACATACCTTAAAAAAGAGAGAAAAGAAGTGACATCAATGAGTTTATCATATTGACCATTTGGAGTTAAGTCATAATGTAATATATGAAGAAGTATCTTTCAAAAAAGATGAAATGTTTTTTTTTTCTTTTTGAAAAAAAAAAGTCTCTTATGCTTTATGGTCACCAAGGCTGCATTTATTTCATTTAAAAAAAAACAGTAATTTTATGAAATATTATTACACTTTAAAATAACTGTATTTAAACCATTTAAAACAATGTTTTGTGCTTTAATGTATTTTACTCCAGTCTTCAGTATCACATGGTCTAGAAATCATTCCAATATGCTGATTTGGTCATTAAGAATAATTTCTTACTATTATTAATGTGGAAAATAGTTGTGCTGCTTAACCTTTTTGTAGAAACACAAATTTCAGTATTTCTATGAGTAGAAATATCAAAAGAAAAGCATTATTGGAAATAGTAATCTTAAAATTATTAATGTCTAGTAAATTTCTTAATATCATTATAGAAATTGTGTCATATAAACATTTTTTTATGGGGGTGAAATTCCAATACCTGCAAGGTCCCACAATACCCCTCTCCTAGCAGGCGTCTCATCTGGACAAATGCAGGCAAGAAGCGCAAGGAATTTCCCATGATACTCATAAGCTGTGGGTAATATCTCGCCGCTGTCACCATCTTACAGGCATCTGTCAGTGTAGCTGCCTGCTCACTGATCACATTTTTACCTATACCTATAGAGAATGAGACAACAGAGAACAAAATTGGGTAAACAATGATGGAAAAAAATGAATATTTTCTATGCCTAACAAGTTTCTGCTTGAACCAAGTGCTTTATCAACATAATCTTAACTGTGCTGATGGGTTCACTGTGATTTGAGTGAGTATGCAACATTTCATCAGCCTACAGGGAAAAAAAGCCCAATGTGGTTTGTGCCAAGATGTAAAGTAAATAGTAGCACAGTAAACACTCTAGTTGAGTCCAGGAAGGAACCCAACCCAATCCCCTGAGACAACACAATCAAGATATGAAGCCAAGGAGCATAAGTCTCACCTAGAGCTTTTACCGCAATCTGCCGTGTGTGGGGAGGAGGTGTCAATATGCAGACAAGGTGGACCTCCGGATGTAGCAGCACATCATCTGTTTGGCTGGTGGAAAAGGGAATGTCCAACTCGCTGGCTAGTGACTCGGCTTCCTCTTGTGTACGGCCCCAGACGGCCTGAACAGGGAAGCCTTCTTTTTGGAGCAACGGCACCAGGGCACGAACTGTCTGCCCTGTTCCAAATACACCCACGCCTGGCAACATTATTCTAACAGAGGACACTTACACGCCACTTGGTGTTTCATTCCACAATGCGACTGTAAATCTCTTGCAACACAAATGCACGTCCTGTGAAAAAAGAGATAAACATCAAAGTTCACGGACTGACATTTGCACAGGGATGACAAATAATCTCTAGACACAGTGCATGGTGCAGCAAGTTAAAATTAACCTCAGGGCCACTTCAGGGTATCACGATCAATAGACAATAGATAAGGAGCTGTGAGAACCCTCTGTTATCGGTGGCTTGGGTGACAGCCTTCAGATACAAGCGTTGCTGATCTACCAACTGGCTTTTAATTTACATCCCAATGGCAGTGCACCTGCCCAGCAAAGGCAAATGAGAAAGCATACTTGTTTTTCCACTTTGGACTAAACACAAGGTAGTTCCTGGTTGGGCTAAATGAAAATCTTTATTAGGAAACACATATTTTCAAGTAAATACTTGATAATAGTGAATAAATACTTAAATAATAGTGTTTAGATGAGCCAAACGGCACGACCACCGAAAATATCCTTAAATAAATTACATGGAAATAGTGAATTTGACAAATCATGATGTTTTTTTTAATCAAGAAATGTACACCATTTTAAGATCCATTTTAGATGCACTAAATTTAGCATCACTTCCACGAGCTAATCCCCGGATGACGGGCGGATAGGCTTCCTTGATGAGTTTATAAGTTTAGAAATTAGTTGTTGTATATATATATTTAAAATAAGAACAATAAAAACCAACAAACCTGACACTTTCCAACAAAAACATGCCTATTACACTGTAGATAGATACATAACGTTGTAGCTTAGCCGAACCAGTCCTGCCCTGCAGTCACAAATACGTTAAGTTAGACACATTCTTCCTCGCAGAGTTTTGAGCTCGTGCCAGTTCCGCGCCTCGGTTATTACCGGTAGTTTTATACTTACCGCAACACAAAGCCTTGGGATGCGATGGAGGTGCTGTGGAGAATGATGATGATGATGATGGCTACTAGAGGATGGTGGAGATGGACACCTCCCTCCCTTTCTGATCAACACTGGTCAGGGCTCGGAGCTCTCATGTTATCTCAAAAGCAAGAGGAAAAACAGGATAAACCCGTCATACCTCCCACCCTCTCAACGTATGGGGCATTCTTCGTCCGTCTTAAAATCACAGTACATTGTTTCATGTGTAAGTCTACAGCGCTGCTGCTGATCTCACTGCTGCTGCTCATTGCTGTGTGCCGTGGGCTGATCATAGGGGCTGATCTTTCGCCAAGATGTTCGATGATGTGCGCATGCGCGAAACGGTCGCGTTCTTTTCTGCCACGCCCATATCAGCACAACAGTTCAATAATATCTCAATCCATCCATAAACCACAATACACTTATTTGTTGTAAAACTTAGATTGTTTAATAAGCAATTATATAACCCGTTTATTAAAAATAACCAAGAACCCTTGACCTTCTCGACCGCATCTACTGAAAACAATACGTCACGATTTTAACATAATAGAAATTGAAATGCTCAAGTAAACAAAATATAGGCCTACTAAAAATATCAAAAACTTGCAACATGTTACCAACATTAGATTTCTTATTTTTTTGTTCATTATCTGTATCCTTTCTAGAATATTATAATGGCTATATGGCTATATATATATATATCCAGAGGTGGACAGTAACAAGATTAAGTTACTTGAGTACTGTACTGAAGTACACTTATTGATTATCTGTACTTTACTTGAGTATTATTTTTTCTTTTTACTATAAACTTTTTACTTTAACTTCACTACATTTGAAAGACAAATATCATACTTTTTACAATACGTACAATTCTGTTTAAGGCCCTTGAATAGAAAGTAGTAACGTCAGTCAGGATTTTGTTTGCGAGGTTGCATTTTGTATGGAAATAAAAGTCAGGGTGACGTCAGAACCGACTGATGTTGGTTTGTGACGTCAACATCATTTTCTACCAGAATACTTAATCTGGCGTTGGATTCGACATCAACCTGATTTTCTTTTTTGAAAGTTTTGTCTTCTAAATGCGAAAATTGTCTTTTGGAGCACTCTAGCTTATAGATACCAATAAGGCTATAACATTCAAAGCCAAAAAAATAAATAGGGCACTATTTGAAGGAACAGCCATCTGGTTGTATGCAACCATTGAGGCACTTTTAAAAACAAGTTTTTACTTACAATTTTACTTTTACTTAGCCTGAGTAAAATTCGGTCTTTACAACTTTTACTTGTAACGGAGTAATATTACCATTTAATATTTGAACAATAGTATCTCTACTTTCACTCAAGTAAGGAAGTTGTGTACTTTGTCCGCCACTGTGTTCTAAACAAACTAGTTTGTATGACCATTTGTTGAAAATATATTTTGTATTAATCTCTATCTCTTTTTTTAGGTACAAAAGCTAATTTATACAGTGTTTGTGGTTTATAATGAAGATAAGCACCCTAGATTGACCTTTGAGATGCTTTGGACTTAATTTATGATGTACAAACATAGATTAGAAATATTCAGCTGGTTGTCATTTTGAAGTGTTAAAATAAGGTATCATATATTTGTATCTATTCTCAGTTGATCATGCTCCTACTGATATGATGGGTATATTTCATTCATCAAAAGGCAATATCTCTGACAATAACGTATAAGATAACGTAAAAAATAAAATATAAGATATTTTGGTTTAATTCAATATCACATATGGTCATTTTGTTTGTTTTGAAGACTCACTGTAATTCCATTTAATAAGTCTCTTTATTACCTTAAACTGGCCAGTGATATAAAGGTTACAATATGTCATGATGATGCCGTTATGTTTTTAAAGCTGTGTTTTATGTATTTTTCTATTTGTTTTATTTGTTATGCTTTGAATTAAAATGTAAAAATAATTAGGCTATTAATAAATTGATACATACATTTTTTTTAAAAAAGTTTTCAATTAGTGCAACAATGCACCATGCATGCTTGTGACAAAAGCACTTTGTACTTTGTATGGGTTTAATAAATCTAGGCTAGTTCCATTTGTAACATATAAATATAATTTCAAAACGGTGTCGTGGTGCAAATTATAGTCTTATAAACGTTATAGTCTTATAAGTTATAAAACACTGTTACAACACTGAATTATGAATCCAAACTGGCGTATATTTGCGCAGCCGCAGACGCAAGTCTATCGACTAGCGTTTGAAACCAAAACAGGAAGTCGTAAGTATTGTGGGACGTGTAGTTCCGCTTGTAGGCCGCTGGTCTGGATAACAGCACACGAAGGAACCAAACAAAACAAAATTAGGGAAACTTCTAAGGGACTGTAGTATTACTGGTGCATCTTCTACAAAATAATGCCCGGCTTCACTTGCTGCGTGCCCGGATGCTACAATAACTCACACCGGGATCGCGATCTGCGATTCTACACCTTTCCGAAGGATCCCACTCAGCGAGAGATATGGCTGAAGAACATTTCGCGGGCCGGGGTGAGCGGCTGTTTCAGCACTTTCCAGCCCACCACCGGCCACCGGGTCTGCAGCGTCCACTTCCCCGGCGGCAGGAAAACCTACACCATTCGCGTCCCGACCCTTTTCCCTCTGCGCGGTGTGAACGAGAGGAAGAGTAGACGGGGAAGGAGCAGGAAGGTGTCCGCGGTCGTGCCCATCATCACCTCGGTCGTTTCCACGGCTAACGAGTCGGCGCCAGTGGAGGAAGAGGCGGACACCGAAAACACCACCGTGGTGCAGATAGATCAGAACGGCCAGTACATCACGCCCGTGGACCTCACCGTTTCGGGGGACGGTTCCTGCCTTACAGCGGTGGTCTCGGGATCAGATTTGTCCGGGGACAGCACGCCGTGCCCCGTGGCCGATCTCGCGTTGTGCGGGGCGGATCACTCGTACTCGCTCACCACCGGCACAACGTCTGCGGAATTGCTTCGGAAACTGAACGAGCAGCGGGACATAATCGCGCTGATGGAGATCAAAATGAAGGAGATGAAGAACACCATCCGACAGCTGCGGGTTAACGAGGCTCGACTGCAGGAGGAGCTGCGCGAGCGGGACCGCCTGATCTCCGCCAACACCATCATCAAGAGAAAACTCTGACAAACAACGTAAAGATACGATGGACTAAAGACGCATAGGATGGTCTGTGCTTCTGTAAGACAAGGCGACGACAATTGAGTTTCATCGTAGTTCTCATTTAAGCTTCCTCCAGGACTCAGAAATGCTAGATAGGCTGTGTGTGTTAGAGCGCAGATACATGAGTTCAACCTGTTTGCACGAGCTGTCAGGCACAGCGTTACATGGGGACTGAGATGAGTTCAGCAGACTGGTCCTTCTCATTTTATATTTAATGATACACAATTGTGTTGTTTTTGTGTTGAGGGAAGCAGATTCAATATCTGCCTACTGCCACACATGTTACATGCACACAGAGACTGTTTCATATAAGTGTGTAAACAGACAACTGCTTATCATTTGTTCATGTTTGTTTTTTAATATCAGAGTGCATCAGGTCAGAGCTTCTGGTCCAGGTGAACCGATTCATTACATACAGGTTAATGCAGTTAGAATGGTTTGAAGTAAAATGCTTTTGAACTATAACTCGTGGGATTCTTTTTTTATGGTTATGACATTTAAGCAAAAAAAAAAACAAAAAAAAAAAGTAAGTTCTGAATTTTTTTTCTAAGATTCTTCACACACGTTATGGATATATTGTGCACTAAAAACTACTACTTTTCTATTTGAAGCCTTGTGTCATCACATTTATTCAAGGAAACTGTTTTCTTGTTAATGAATTGTGCTCAGTAAAGCATCCTCAACCTCAAATTAACCAAACTTTCCAGTTTCCAGAAGATATTGACCTTCAATTATAAGGTAAGCTTCAGAATAGCTGAAAAACAATCTGATCCACAATGTTGGTTGGTAAAACATTTATTACATGTGTTTAAAAAATGTGTATACAAATGTTCAGAGATAACATACATTCATTCAGGTTACCCGAAACTCAATTTCTACACGAGACCACATTTGAAGTGTTTTTGTTAGAGTCGTAATCTTTTAATGTCCTCGCTGCGGAAATCGACCCTAAGAGCCAAGACCTGCCGAACTTCAGCAGGGGTCAGACGCCACGTCAAAGGCCCAGAGTTGGGTCCCCAATAATCCAGGATCTCAGACACCTCAAGAAGAAAGACACAAAGTCAAACAAAATTCCAAATGATACTGTCCTCTTAGTCATAGACCAGATTTCAATGATTAACATTTTTAAATGCTAGTCAAAAAGCCACATACCCTCTCTAAATTGAGAATAGTTGCCATCTGTGTGAGTCGGGCAAACTTATCCCGGATGGTCCAGGAGGTGACAGAGGAGAGGTATGCAACCAAAGCACGCAGCTCCTTATCAAACTGTAATCCACCAAGCTACAACCCAGAATCAACAGGACAGTTAGGATGTCAGTGTTTTAAAGTAAATATGTAGCTGTTGTGCTCATTTGTGCAGGGTGTTTACATCTCACCCTGCTGAAGGTGCATTTGAACACGGTCTTCTCCATCTCCATTGCTATGAGACTGGTCATCAGGCTAGTTAGAGTATCGTAGATGACTGGTGACAGGCCCACCTACAGAGAGGCATTTTAGAATTGATGTGTGTGTGTGCGTGCACATGTGTTAAGTAGATTAAAATAAATTTACCTTAAACTCAGCCATGAGCTGCTCCAACTGGACAATGAGTTGCTGAACCCAAGGATCATTGGCTTCATAGTCACTGAACTCTTCCTAAAGACAACAAAAAAAAAGCAACTTGTAAATCCTCAGATATAATTCATAATAATTAATTATCATTTGCTATGTTTCCATCCAAAGTTGCAAACTTAAAACGAAAAGAAAAAAGTCACTTCCTGATTAACCGGCACTAAATATAAGAATATAACAAAAATTGGAAGTTGCTGCAGTAGGAGATGGCACTGTATATAATATATTCATATATAATACAAGTACTTGTACCTGCAGATGAAACACAAATAAAGTTATCTTACTTTCAGAGGTGGATCTCTACAGTTTGGGAACGCAGTTGTGTAAGACAGTTATGGGAGGTAATTATACTGAACCACTTTAATGAGAGATTTTGCTCAGACATTTCAGAACAACCAAAACAGCATTTCAGATTCTGTGCATCGAGACCGGTCCACTGGTTAGTCCAGTTATGCCTTCCCATCTTTTTTTGATGTGCGTGGCATTGAGGAATTTTTTTGGTAAATGTGTTTCCATCGTAGTTTATCTGCATGTTTTCTCATGTATTATTCTTCAATAATATGTCTATAACATCGATTTTTTGATGTACATTTTTCGAATTTATGTGCAAATCCAGTGATTTTTTGTTTTTGTTTTATGATAATGCGCATAAAAATAGGTGGATGGAAACATGGCGATTGTCAACTCTTAAGTGCAGACATTTTTATTTGCTCTCTTACCCCTTTTCCACCAAAGCATTTTCAGAGCTGGTGCCTACTCGTGGACCAGTTCTTTGTGTTTCGACAGCCAAAGAACTGGTTCTCGGACAGGAAAATTGGTTCCAAAGCGGCACCAACTCTTTGCTGGACTAGAACCAGAGAACCGTTCTTTTACCACGTCATACTTACGTCGGGGGCTGGGTGACCAACAACACGATGGGAAAGGTTGTGACCACCATTGCTAAAAACAAAGTGCTAGAAGTTGTCGCAAGTGTTTCAGGGAAAGCTAAGACTTATGGTGACGTAACAACGTCATTCGCTGGGATCTCTAATCAGTGGAAAAACAAACAGGTTCTGAGAAGGGGTTACAAGTTGAACCAACTTTGAACCCGAACCAGTTCCAAACCAGTTCTTTTTTGGTGGAAAAGGGGTATCTGTCAGTAGTAGTAAATATGGTTATCATCTCTAACCTCTTCAATATTGTGTGAGACAGACAGGAAACTGCTGATCCAGGGTTTTACTTGTGGTCTAATAGAGGTGTTGTTAAGCTCCTGTAGTCCCTCCTGCACATACACAAACCGGTAAGAAAAACAGCACATTCAAAACATTAAACATTTTGTAGTAAGATATAAATGTTGTTCTTTTATCTTTCAATTAATGAAAAAAAAAAGATCACAGTTTCAACACAAATATTAAGCAGCATGACTTTTTCAACATAATAATAAAGAAATGTTTCTTTAGCACCAAATCGGCATATGAGAATGATTTCTGAAGGATCATGTAATACAAAAGACTGGAGTAATGATGCTGAATTTTTTTTAAAATATAATAAAGAAAACCGCTATATTTAATTGCAATAATATTTTACAATATTACTGTTATTACTGTACTTTTGATAAAATGTAGCATTGGTGAGCATTTAAAACCCATACTTGTAAACGCTAGTGTGTAAACAGATTCTCACTGACCTGGAGGAGGTCCTTGAATTTGCTAGAGGTGGTGATCAAATCAGATAGACAGCTGTCAATCTTAGCCTTCGCATGATCTGAGCCTGTGCCCTGACTGAACAACTTGGCACAATCACTCTGAGATGGACAGGAAGAGAAAGCAATTCAGAATGCTCACAACAACATCAAATGTTAGCATGAGCCAGAAAGACCAGAGGATTCAAACTTTTCCAGAGTTATTGATCTCTTTCTTGCATTAAAGTGGATATCATTTTCTCACATGATAACAACAACTCAAGCTAGTAAGAGTGGTCGGACATCTTATAAGCTTCCCCAAACATTTCTGAAATTTCAAGTATTATTTCACTCTCCCTCATACCGTTCGAACCTTGAGACATTCTTTCTTCCATGAAACACAAAAATTGAGTTTATTTGGACTGCTTTTATGATATGATTATAGGGCTTGAAAGCAACCATCCACATTAACTGTAATTGCATGGAAAAGATTTCCAAATTTCTCTTTTTGTGTTCCATGGTATAAGATGAATGAGATCAGGATCTAAAAAATGGAGATTAAGGTATTTAATGATAACATAACAAGAAAACATCCAAACTCAAGGAATGTAACTGAGAGTGACATGCAACCATGGATGAACAAAACCTGACAATGAACACAGGAAACACCAGGGCTTCTATAGACCATTTCACAAGATGTAAACAACACTGGTCCAGAAGCACTTCCTGTTTCAGTTTTCTTTATTTCACATGTAAAGAAAACATCTTAAAGATGTTTGTTCAACTTTTTGATTCAGTTTTACATGTTCTGTT